TTTTTCATGAAAAATAAAGTCAATCAAACACATTCTAAGTCAATAGTAGTTATAGGTTTTATGAAACTTAGGGATGAGCATCTGATGGTTCAATCTGAATATTCCAAGAACTAGAAGTATCAATAATATTATAATTTTTTGTCAATGGAATTCAATTTTATGTAATTACTAGAATTGAACCATAATCGAATCTCTTTCGGTTCAGATTAGTTTCTATCATAACAATTTTGAAAGAAAAAAATAGTAAGAAAACAATTATTACAAACATGACATGCTCAGCTTTTCACAGCATTCATTTATGTTGTGCATCTAAGGCATGCCGTAAAAATAGACTATTTACAGCATGCGATAAATGTATGCCATTAAAAATCAATTGGTTAAGGTATTTACGGCGTACCTACTGAGCATGTCATGTTTGTAAAAAAAAAAAAAAAAAAGGATTGGCTTTTTATGGCATGCCTTTGTACGCCGTAAATGCCGTCTTTTTTTCTCCCCTTTTTTTTCCCCTTCTTTTGACTTGTAGAGGTGGAAAAGTTTTAGTTAATGACTTTCGTTCCTGTAAATAGCATGCGCTTGAAAAAGAACACTTCTTGTTTCATACTCTCTTTCTCTCCTTGTCCGTACGCACATCTACTGCAAGTATGATCCCAATAAACACTTGTTTCATTCTCTCTGTGTTGTTTTTCCTATGTTTCTATATTAACATCAATCTTTCCCTAGGAGATGATAGCATCAGAGCAAACCAATCACTCTTTGGAAAAGAGAATCATGTCTTTTGGTGGGACTTTTGAACTGGGATTCTACACGAAATATTTTACTTTTGTACAATTATAACTTCACCAACATTAAATGGAGTTGGCCAAACGCTTGAAAAAATGAGAAGGGTTATTACTCCTTCTTTAAACCACTAACATAATTAATTTTTTTGGTTTGTAAATTAATGACCAATTAATTTATAACATTCAACAACTTTGGGGCCTAATTTATGAAACTGGCCCCAGCCCCGAAGACCAACGCTGCTCACTTTCATGTGGTCCATTGATTAATGGAGATTATGGAATACATATTTGCTCAAAATGTATTGATTCACAACATAATTTGTCATTCTCAAAGCAAGTTGACTCAACAACCCCAATTCATTTCTGTCTGCCTGTGTATCCCTAAGTCCAACTCGACATAACTCTCTCCTCTCCACATCTTCATGGATTAAAAATCATTTGACTAGTAGAAGCGGAAAAGTATTAGTGCACGACTTTCCTTCTCGTGAATAGTATGCACCTGAAAAAAACACTTCTTGTTTCATACTCTCTCTCCTTGTCCTACACACATCTTCTGCAGCTATGATCACAAAGAACACTCGTTGTTTCATTTTCTCCATGTTGTTTTTCCTATGTTTCTATATTAACATCAATCTTTCCCTTGGAGGTGACAGCATTAGAGCAAACAAATCTCTCTCTGGAAAACAGACAATCGTGTCTTCTGGTGGGACTTTTGAACTGGGATTCTTCAAACCAGGTACTTCTTCCAGTTATTATATAGGAATTTGGTACAAAAATATTAGTCCAATGACCATAGTTTGGGTAGCAAATAGGGAGACACCCATTTCAGACATGAACTCTGCAGAACTTAAGATTTTACATGGGAATTTGGTGCTTATGGATGAGTCCCAGGTTTCAATTTGGTCTACAAATGTAAACTTGACAACCTCAGATTCTGTAGTGGCAACTCTAGGAACAAGGACACGTTGCAAATTGAAACCAAAAATTCCTCAAATAGGTTGGAGGGAGACAACAAGAGTGGTGTCAGTGTTCCTTTCTGCAGTTGGGAAAGTATAATAGCTGCTACCGAAAACTTCTCAGACATACAAAACTTGGACGTGGGGGATTTGGTCTTGTTTACAAGGTTTAACTATTGTTCTCTCCATAATTGTTTGCTACAACACTGTTTGTGCTTCCTTAAGTATTGATTCTAGCTCACTAATCTTGTAGGGAATGTTTCCTGGAAGGCAAGAAATTGCAGTGAAAAGGTTGTCAAGCTGTTCTTTGCAAGGCATTAACGAATTTCAAAATGAAATTGTATTGATAGCAAAGCTTCAACATCGAAACCTCGTTCGCCTTTTGGGCTACTGCATGAAGGAGAATGAAAAGATCTGACTCTATGAATACATGCCCAACAAAAGTTTGGATGCCTTTATATTTGGTTAGTTCATGGAAAATGATATGATTTATATTTGCAATTTTCATTTTAACTAATAATAATTTATTTTATTTTATTTTTTTGGTTGGCAAATACTAGATAAAAAATTATGTACGTTACTAAACTGGAAGAAGCGGTTTGACATCATCATAGGGATAGCAAGAGGGGTTATTTATCTTCATCAAGATTCAAGGTTAAGGATAATTCATAAATATTTGAAAACAAGCAACATTCTGTTAGACGGAGAGATGAACCCCAAAATTTCAGACTATGGTTTGGCAATAATTGTTGTGGGCAAAGGAACAGAGGCAAGCACCAATAAAGTCATAGGAACTTAGTAAGTGTCACTTAAAATGATATAATTACACCGAGACTACTGAAAGCACGAAAAAAATTAAACTTTTCATATCTTATATGATTGTAATGATCTTGTACATATACTCTTCAGATTT